AATAGACATTCAATGAAATGGAATAGATTACCCATGCCTGTTAACCCCAACAAGTTTTAAAAGATATCAAAATGAAGAAACTCATAGAAAACACCACAATTATATAGCCTTAAATGTTTTGTTTTTCTTTATATGTTTTTATATTTGATTCATACAATACTCTCTATTATCTGTCTATTGATCTATCTATCTATCTATCTATCTATCTATCTATCTATCTATCTATCTATCTATCATTTATCTACCTGTCTGTTTATGTATGCAAGTGTGTGTGTTTACACAAATATAGTAATGGTACACTCTGTTATTTTCATTGTTTTGTTTTTGAAACAAAGTCTCATTGTGTATATTTGGCTGGCTTGGCTCTCCTTATGTAGACGAATTTGGAGTTGAACCCACAGATTCACTTGGCTCTGCCTCCCAAGTGCTAGGAATGAAGGTGTGAGCCAACACTCCAGCACAATACTTTTGTCTACAATATATTCTTCAAATCAAACCTCTAACTATTGGCTTATTGAAAAAATATTATTAGAAATTAATCACACCTTCAATGAATGTATTTTAAATATAGAAGATGCAATAAGATATCTTAAGACTGAACATAGTGGGCTGCCTTATAAGTCCCTTCATCCCTATCTTCTTTAAACTTTGTAAGTTTTAATGATAATTCATAGAATTAGTTTTTATATATGTAAACCTGACAATAAATGAAAAACAACATGTTATTGAAAACAAGCCTACTTAAAAATTAAGAAGATAATTAATGAAATTATAAAGAATGAAACACACACTACTCTTTACTATACACTATTCTTTACCACACTCATTTCTACGCAATCACATGTTCCTTTAATGGGGCACCTTTTCATTACACTAGGAAATTTGATGAAAGGTTCATTTTTAATGATTAAAAAATTCAGTAGAATCATTAAACCTTTAAAATTTTATATGTCTACACTGTTGAATTAAAAATCTAAAAAACTGCTGTTTACTGTCAAATGAAAAACGGAAATACCACTCATTTACGAAAGCATCTTATCTACTTATATTTTTTTCTTAAATATAGGAAAAAATATTCGTTACTGACTGAGAACACAGTACCTTCAAATACTTTAAATATTCTTACTTTTAGAAGCATGTATCATAATTGAACTATAGCTACCATATAAATGTTTGAAAAGTTGAATAAGATAATACTATTACATTTGTTGCAAAAATTCTAGCAATGGAATATTTTAAACTATAATTTCAAAATTGAAATAATAGAAAAACATAGATCTGAAGAAAAAGGAGGTTATGGCTATGAGGAAATATGAATGTAAAAGTACTGTGACATCAGTGAACACTAGAAAATTTATTTAAATAATCAAATCAGTAGATTTCGTAGGCAATATTAGTTAGCAAAAGCTTATTTTGAGAGTTCTGTGTGTAAAAATATGATCTATTTTCCTTTACTTTTACTCCAAAGACAATGAAATGATTGTGAATCTTATTAAATGAATGGCACTACTTACACATCGTATCAAAAACACTTACTATGTTTTAGAATACATGAGTAAGTGAAGTTTTCAATTTTAAGTGCTTCTGAAAGGGGAAACCCTTAAGAATTTGAGAAGGATTATGGAAACTTAGTAGATCAAAAGCAGTGCCCGAGTTAGGGTGGAAGAAAGTCAAGACAAAAATCACCAATAGAGAAATGACAGAAAGAGCTAACAGAAGAAGGAAGGAGAGCAGGTGACCTTCTTTCCATAAAGAAGGCAGCTGATGAACTCAGTCACACTACGTGGCACGCCTCCAGTTAAATGCCACCAGGAAAGTGCTGCGCACCTGGGTCACCCAGCACAGGGAGAGCTGCACAGAGGCTGTGTGGTGGACCCCAGGAAGAAATATCAAGGTAGCATCCTGATGGAAACCACACACTATCATCTGTTCGGATTATGGTAACAGCAGAGGTGTCCCTCTCCCTGTCAGTTCCATTCTCCACTGCACAGCAGGGAGGAATTATACAGGTGAGGGATCACAGTACGTTGTGATTGAAGGTAGTGGAACTTGACACAGTACCCTGATGGACAGAATGAAAGTAAACACAGGGAGCAGTGTCTCCAAAAACAGGAAGAAGCACTGACTGAGAACATAATACTTTCAATTACATTTGTGTGTGTGTGTGTGTGTGTGTGTGTGTAAAATCTTTAATTAAAATATTTATTTTATTTTTATATATGCATGTGTTTCCGTATGTGTGTGTCATGTGTGTGCAGGTACCTCCTGAGACCAGAAGAATGGGTCAGAACCCTGGAACTGGAGTTGCAGGTGGTTGTGAGCTGCCTGATGTGAGGGCAAAGAACTGAGCTCAGTTCCTCTGCAAGAGTAAAATTTGTTCCTAACTGCTGAGTCACCTCTCCGGCCCTAATCTTTAATTTTTAAATTTTTTCATACATTTATATAAACTTTTCATTCTTTAATATTTTTCTTACATTTTTGTATTTAAGGGTATAATTGACATGTTGCAATTTTTATCTCATTGGAAAAGGCTCCTATGTCTGTTCCTCCATTCTGCAAACTGAACAGGTTTTTCTCCACTGCTTTTCATACCTCAAACCTGCATGCTTTCTTCATTCTCACTCTACCCTTTTTACTCCTTTCCCATTCCCCTTTCAGTTTACTACTTAAATATTGATACCGCCACCCCCTAAATCCCAACAACAATCCAAACTACAAATTTCACCAACCAGTATCCTAGTTCTCCTCTGTCCAAACATTAGAGGAGACATAGCGTCTTCTGCAGTTAGCAGTGGGACTGACATCAAACCATTAGAGTTACTGTATTCATTTTTCTCTCTGAGAATAAATTCAAGTGAATACGACCCACCTGGAAGGTTCACATAAAAGAAAATAGAACACAGCAGGGAAAAGGAAAAAGCAATGAACTAGAGGACACACAATCCACCAGATGCACAAACACAACAAAGAATCTCAGAAAACATGAGACAGATTCCATTATGACACCCTACAGTTGACAGCTTCTCAATATTGGAAAACAAAGCTGAAGAGACAGCTGAAATGGTAGAAAAGGATTTCAGAGTCCTACATGGTAAAGAGGCTTCAGAGAGCTGATGCCTGCATAGGATGCCTACTTCAATTTTCTGCTTCTCAAGGCTCAAGGATAACTCCAGAAGAGGAGGTGAAAACACTGTAATAGCAAGAGGGGGCGGATGACCACAAAGAAAAAGTCTTCCAGAGAGTTGATCATTTACTCATATGAACTCACAGCAACGATGATAACATGCACAAGTCCTATGCTGGCTCAAACCTAGACAACATACCAGTATAAACATATGGGAGTAGGTAAGAAGTCCCAAGACAACCTTGGAACTTTTGACTGCTGGGAAAGAGAGCTACTGTCTTACAGGTTTAGGACTCTTGGTGAACCCAGTAGATGTATTTACACTGAAAGACATTTGGGGGCACAAATAAGACTGTATAGGTCATTAAATTGGGTGGGGAGCAGTGAGTGGAGATGTGGAGAGAGGACCGGATCTAAATACTATCAAATAATATTGTATGAGAATCTCAAATATTCAAAAAATGTTTAAATCAGGAACAATACCCAAGAGCACTGATAAGCATAGATTAGAGTCCATAGATCTAAAAAAAATCCACAAAACAAATAATAATAAAGAACAAGAAATCAGGGGCATAGTAAGGTGGGGTGGCCAGGGGAAGAGGGAGTCTTAATTTGACTAAAATGCTTTGCATGAAATTTTAGAGTCAATAAAAAATGTTAAAAGACCAGTGATGAAATAGAGGACTCAAGTAAGCAGATAAGGGATTGAATTGAAGACTTTGACAAGAAATTTATCAAAATAGATGAAAGAATCAGTAACTTAAAGGAAAAAAATTAAAACCTGGAAGAAAAAATCCAGGAAGGAAATTCATGTTGCAAAAGAAATCAAAGAATCAGTCAAATGAAGAAACCAGATGAAAGCATTATAAATAGACCATGCCAAAAAGAAGGATAAATTTCAGAGATAGAGGTCAAGGTTGCGGCAATAATGCAAGGTTGAGATATTTATAGATAAAAAAATGTATATGACTGAATCATCCAAAATTCCTAGAGACCAAACTTGGGAATTCATCAGGTAGCAGAAGAAGCTGAGATAAAGTCAACTGGCTCAGACAGTGTATTGAGTAAAACTACATCTAACTCCCCAAACCTCTATAAAGAAATAGACATCCAAGGTAGCATTTAGACCTCTAAATAGATATGACAGAGAAGGCATTTTCTAAGTCATATCATGGGTTGTCAAAAGTATACAGCAAAAATACAGTACTAAATACAGTACTTGTGAAACAAGAATATCAACCAAAATCCAGAGGCAACAACAACAGAATAACATCTGATCTGTCATCAGCAACTCAAAGAGCCATGAAGGCATGAGATGATGTATTTCAAGCCTTGAAAATAAATGTCAACCAGGGTTAATATACCCAACCAAGTTATCAGTAAAATTGATGGACTGATATAAATACTTCAGGACAAGTCTAAATAAAAGTAATTCATCATAGCTAAGCCAGAATTGCAGAAAATTGTTACAGAAATACTGTATACAGAAGAAGAAAAGCAGTTCCACCTGTGAGAACACAGGCAAAGAATACATTTCATGAGCGCAACAGAGAAAAAAAGAACTGGATGGAATCAATCATGTCCAATGCAGCAAACCAGAAAACCTACAGCACTACCTGGAGGAAGAAGGAACTATCAATTAACCTGCCAACCATAACAAACACCAACAAATCTTCAGTAATTGACAACCTTCTCAATAACAGCCTTGACTACAAATGGTCTTATCTTAGCAATTAAAGACTAACGAAATCGATTAAAAACAAGATTCAATTATCTGTTTTCACCAAGAAACTCTGATAAATAGGAAAGACATTCTAACCTGAGTCAAAGTTGAACATACCTATCAAGAAAGTAGAAGTTGGCCCAGAAGAGTGCTCCAAGATGGTGGCCTCCGTGGACCTAGAGTTGAAGAAGGCCTTCATAGAGCTTCAAGCCAAAGTTACTGACACTCAAAATAAGGTGAAGCTTGTAGACGTACAGATTGAACAGCTACACAGAATGAAAAAGCACGCACATCTTACTGACACAGAGATTATGACTTTGGTAGATGAGACTAACATGTATGAAGGTGTAGGAAGAATGTTTATTCTACAATCCAAGGAAGTAATTCACAATCAGCTGTTAGAGAAACAGAAAATAGCAGAAGAAAATGTTAGAGAACTAGAGCAGAAAAAGTCCTCCCTGGAGCGGAGCGTTAAGGAAGCCGAAGACAACATCCTTGAAATGCTGACGGTACAAAGGACATGGTAGGAGCCGCCCGGGAAAGTTCTTCCCTCTAGACTCCTCCCATCCCAGCAGGGCAGAGGAGTCTGGTAGTGATAGGTGCTCACAGTATGCTTTATTTAGTGATAGGTGTTCACAGTATGCTTTATTTACATGTGGCAGTAGGCTTGGTAACAGCCTCCCTCTGCTCAGATGGACATTTTATCTGGGTGGCCTAGAAGTCCCACATTCTCTCCCTGAACCCCCTTTGGGTCCCACCTATATATTTTTCCCTGTCTGTCCACTGCCCCTACTCAGGACACTCCTCTCCTGGGGCAAGCCAGGAACTCCCAGCAGAGGAGTGAAAGCAGATGAAGACTGTCGAGGCCTGACACTAAGCGTGTGGGTTAAATCGATAAAAGGCTATGTCTTGATGAAAAAAAAAAAAAAAAAAAGGAAAGTAGAAGGTGCAAACAAGTGACATACAGATTCTTACATCTGAGAAAGTGGGCTTCAAACCAACATGAGTTCGAAGAGACAAGGAGGGCCACTACAGAGCAATCACATGAACAATTCATCAGTAGTATATTACTATTGTAAATATATTTACAGACTGAATATTAGGCCCTCAGTTACCTAAAACAAACACTGAAAGGCTTAAAAGTCTAACCTTCTTGGATGTTTAACAGACATACCTTGAGATCTATACTAATTGGGTCAGAGGGATTCAAAGGACACTTTTTGCTCCTTGCCCTCCTGGGTCGATTAGTTCCCAGGGACTATGAGCATCTTGCAAAATGTCCTCTAATGTGGTGGGTCATCTGACCTTTTGATCAAGGAAGCCAAGGACACCCCACCAGATGGACTTGAACCAGTGTCCAGTCTATAAAGAGGAGGGTCAACACGGAGGAATCATTTCCTCCATGCTTCCAAGAGAAGCCAACAATGGTTGAGCAGGACCTTTGACTTATCTTCACATAGATGGAACTGGTAAAAGAAAGGAGCCAGGGGCTCCTCCCAA